AAGCTTTGATATAGTTTTACCTTTTTCCAAATTTCGCAGATTTTTTAATAAGGTTTTAATATAATTTAATCAAGTTTACTTTTACCATTTAGACGTCTGTCTAAACTCTTGATTTCGTCTAATAACCTTACCTCTAACGCATTTTGACTCAATTCTAGATGATGTTATCGAACTTGGCTAGAAATTAGCCTGTCTGATATCAAGAATTACACTGTTTGATATAGCAATTCTAGTTTAATTTTAATCCCAAATAATATATCAAAAAATTTTTACTATTCTGTTTGCCTCAGGGGGGACTATTGAAAATCAAGAAACAAAGTGATGCGATTTGAGCTGGCCCTGACATTACAAACCTAAATTTAATAATAAATTTTATGCTATTCTGCTTGCCTCTAGAGGGGCCATCGAAAATAAGGAACAAAGTGATGTGATTTGAGCTGGACCTGATCATGCAAACCTAAAATATATGTCATATGCTAAATCTAACATCGAAAAAGTTATATTTAGGTGTTATATAGTTTGCAAATCAAAAGCTTAATGATTATGTTCTAGCATGTTATCAATTTATAAATATACAGGAAACCATTCTAGAGCCATTTCTTTTACACAAACCTGAGAAAAAAAAGTCTAATTTTTCGTCTACTAATATGTGAAATCTAACTACAAAAAAAGTCTAACCTTTCAACTAACCATATAATAAATCTATCTTTTACTAAAAGTCTAACCACTTAAATACATATTAAACATCAGGGTCTTATCCTGAAATCTATTAATATATTAAATTATATAATAGCCTCTAGTATGAAGATTACAACGACCACAAGATGATCCAGTAGGCATATCACATTCTGATTCCATACAAGGCTAGCGTTTTTTAGCCCTATTTTCTCATAATTAAAAAAAAGTAAATAAATATTAGGTGACATAAATAATTAATTTAAATTAAGCAAAAGTTTACACATATATTAGAAGTTAGACTTATTATAGTATCATGGTTAGAAAAAATATAAAAAATCATAAATGTATTTGCTATAATAAGACTTTTGCCACACCTCAAAAACTTCATCAGCATTACAAAAGTAATAAAAATCAATGTTAGATTAGCTTCTGATGATATACTAAAGCAAGCTTCAGCTCCTGAGACTTCTAATCAAAAGGAGAGTCAAAAGGAGAGACCTAGCATGATTGAGCGACAAGACACTCAGGAGAAGCCAAAAGTGATTAACAAAACTTATAATTCTGAAGCAGGTTCTAGCCCATCAACTCAAGCTCACAGAGAGGGATTACCATCTAGTATTAAGATGTTTAATGAAGAATATATGAAGGAATTAATTGGTGAGAAAGAACCTAGTGAAGTTGAGCGACAAGATGCTTAGGAATTTACCAAGGGAAATATTTCCGGTCAATTTATGAGGAAGCAGAAGGAATTTACAAAGAAGAGGAACCACCCAATGATGATATAGTATTTTTGGAAAGAAAGTGTGATCTTGCAAGACAACATAGCTCTTTTAATTGTATCATTGTATGGGAGGGAGTTATTCCTTCATGTAAGAATCCAGCATATGCATTCAATAAAGAGCAAGACAATTTTAAAGAATATGCAAATGCACTATATATGCCTCACCTTATAGCATCAGCACCTGATGCAATTACAGATGTTTTCAAAGAAGAGTTTCAAAAAAGAGATCAAATAAAATTAGCATTGGTCATATATGCTACATATGTATCATATTCCTATAAAGGAATAGGTGATCCTTCAGATAAGGCAAACTATACTGTCAAATATTATCAATCATATCATAGAAGCCAATAACGTAAAATTCTTTCTGAGCAATATATAGATAAGTATATAACCTAACCTAATCTGGTGTAAAAATTGATCAAAATATCGAGAGCTATTTGAAAGAAGAATCAGGTAAAATTTTCTCCAGTTAGAAATGATACTTATAGAGTTATATATACTTCATTGAGTTTTTGGAGGTTCTCACATTGATATTCCCAAAAAACTCTCCAATACAAAATATACAATTAATCCAGATAATAAAGGTCTCATTGATCCAGAGACAAAAAAGCCTTCTGAAAAATGTCTTTAAGATGCTTTAGGTTGTTATTTTACCCATCAGGATGGACATACAGATCATCTTGAACAAATATTTCGAGCTACAAAATATAAACCATATTTAGATGTGGTCAAGCTCGATGGAATTTCAATGCCTACTCCAATTTGTCTACGAACTTTTCAAAAAATTGAGGAGATGAATCCAGATATCTCCATAAATATCTGGAAGTGGGAAGAAGAAACACGTATTTCTAAACCCATTCTTTATAGTAAAAACTATAACAGACAACATATTATCTATCTTATGGCCCTTACAAATATTACAAAATCTAAGGAAGGAAAATATGGGCAAAAGAATCACTTCCTTTGGATCAAGAATCTGAATGAATTAGTAAATAAGGATACATCTCATAAAGAAAAGAAATATTTATGCAACCGATGTTTTCAAAGTTTTCCATCTATAAAATCATTAGACCATCACCAGCAATAGTATTTTGGATTAGGTGAAGCCTCACAAAGAGTCACTATGCCTGTAAAAAATGTTAATGATTTCGAAGAGTTCAGGAATTATGGCTGTCAGATCAATGCCCCATGTGTTATCCTTGCAGATTTTGAGTTATTAAAGAAGAAGTGTAACACACATTATGGTGAAAATATGCGAAAGATAGCAGAGGAAAAAGCTAATAGTTTAGCTATAAAGTCCACTGGATTGATATTAGAGAAAAATGGGCCCCTTCTTATATCAAGGAGAAAATGCTACAGAAGAATTGATCTGAAGGATCGATCAAGTATTGGTAGAAATAAATAAGGTCTTAGCTGTTAAGCATGAGTGTATTATTACGGATGATTACTAAAGAAGGTTTAAAGAGACTGATAGGTGTTGGATCTGTGAAGACAAGTTTAGTAAAGATACAGATATGATTAATAGATTAGAAAGAAAGATTGCAAATCTCACTGACAAACTTACAGAAATTGTTCAAGATTCTAAATCGCATAATAAGATAGCTTCATCTAAAGAGATATCAAAGAGAATCTGGGAAAAAGAAAAGAGTACCAAATCAAAAAAGGATATCAAAAATCTCTATACAGAATTGCTAAAGGCTTTTAAGAATTCTGAAGACTATAAATTCTTAAAATTAGTAATCTCAAAGCACAAGCCAAACTTGCTAGGGAAGAAGCTAGAGATAAAAAGGTTTGGGATTATTGTCATATCACAGGTAAATTCCGAGTGGCATCCCATAATACTTGCAATCTTAAACTTCAGATTGAGTCATAGAAGACACCAATCCCAATTATATTCCATAACTTCAAGGGATATGACTCTCACTTGGTCTGTAAATCTGTTAAACGCTCAGGTAATTCTCTTCAAATTACTGTTATTGCTGAAATATTTGAGTGATACAAATCTATGAAAGTAGGCCAGCTTAAGTATATTGATAGTTTGCAATTTATGACTTCTAGCTTGACCTCTCTTACAAAAAATTTTGGTGATAACCACCCAATTATGACTGAGTATTTCAAGAAACAAGGCTATTCTTCTGAACAGATTTCTTTAGCATATCGTAAAGGAAACTTTTCTCATGAGTATATAGACTCTCATGATCGATTTAAGGAAACAGAATTACCTCTGATTCATGAGTTTCATAGTGTTCTTGGAGGTAAGATTTCACAAGAGGATTATAATCATGCCCAAAATGTATGGAAGGAATTTGGGTGTAAGAACTTGGGAGAATATAATGATCTCTATCTCAAAATAGACGTGCTTAGTCTAGCAGATGTCTGGATAATGTTTAGAAAGACATTTATGCATCATTATGGTCTCAATTCTAGCCATTATGTATCCGCATATTCTCTATCCTGGGATGCTATGCTTAAGATGACTAATGTCAAGATCGAGCTATTTACAGAAATAGTAATGCATGACTTCATTGAAAAAGCAAAGCAAGGTGGTATTACTATGGCAGTATATAGACATTTTCAAGCAAATAATCCTAGCATAGGAGAGGAATTCGATCTATCACAACCCATAACATGGATTTCTTATATTGATGCAAATAATCTTTATGGCTGGGCCATGAGCCAATTTCTCCCAATTGGAAATTATAAGTGGATTGCTAGTTGAGAATATCTAAAGAATAATCCTAAGATGCAAAAGAAATATCTTGAAACGATACTTAAGACTGGAGCAAATGCATCACATGGATTCTACTTAATGATTAATTTCCATTTCCCTCTAAAGACTCACAACTATTTGAGTGACTTACCACCAGCTGTGGAAAATGTTGTAGTAAAAAAGAATATGCTATGTCTATATACTAAGCTTGTGAATGATATAGATGGTAGACGATTCTATGCAACAGAAAAATTAGTCCCCCATCTTGACTCATAGAAAAATTATGTCATTCATTATCAAGAGCTTCAATATTATATAAAATTAGGTATGGTTGTAGATGAGGTCACAGAGATCTTATCATTTAACCAGATGAACTGGTTGGCTCCATATATTGCAAAAAATATTAAATTATACCAAAAGCTAAGAACACATTCGAAAAAGACTTCTTCAAACTCATGAATAATTCAGTATATAGTAAAATTATGGAAAATGTTAGAAAGTATCAGAATGTTAAGATCATAGCCTATAATAATAAGTCAGATGAGAAGAAGTTTCTCAAGAAAATCAAAAGCCCAGATTTCAAGTATGGTAGACCACTTGGAGATACGCTAGTAGGCAGTGTTGTTATAAGACATTTTTGAAACATAGCCTGGAACATTGGGACTTAATGTGAGACATTTTAGAATATAGTGTGAGACAGTCTCAAAATGTTTGGGATATTGAAAATGTACATCACAGCTAGCAAATGCATATATGAGAAAAGCTAGCTTAGTTCTCAATAAGCCAATTATTGTTGGAACATCTGTTTTAGGTCTTAGTAAGCTTTTAATGTATCACTTTTGGTATGATTATGTGAAAAAGAAATATGGGGACAATGCAAAGCTTGGGTATATAGATACAGACTCCTTTATATTCATGGTTGAGACTGAAAATATCTATAATAATATAGCAGAATGACCAGACATCTTTGATTTTAATGATTCGAAGACTATTGGGATTTTCAAAGATGAGACTTCAGGAAATGTGATTATTAAGTCATTTCACATTTGGGCAAAATCATATCACTATGTCTTAGCTGATAAATCTACAAAGTTAAAACATAAGGAGGTCAGCAAGAAGTATATGAATAAGATAGCTATAAAATCATATATGTTAACTTTAGAAGGATCTTTGCTTGATAATCTGATAGATAAGTCATTATTAATAAATCAAGAAGTTAAGGATTTAGCAATACGAACTGATGCTAATCCAATGACTCTAGTTTATTGGAATTATCTCTTCCAGAAAAATGCGTTCTATGCTAAGAATATAGGATTCTGATCAAAAGATCATGTTATATCTCTAGTTGAGTCTGAAAAAAAGGCTCTCTGTCTCATAGATACTAAACGCTGGATATTATCAGATGGGGTAACCAGCTTGCCTTATAGGCATTGGTCTATCATGATATACAAGAATATGGTCAAAGATGGTATCCCTCATGAAGTAGCCAAAAAAAGAGCTATAAGGGCTAAACTCCTAGAGAAATAGCAAAATGAATGTATGTCTTACATATCTAGCGAATGAAACTGAAATTAATGAGGCTAAGAAATTACCATAGTTAGATTAATGATATTACACTTATAGTTATTATATTTTTTTTATCAAAATAATTAAGCTATCTCCTGCAATACAAAAGGTACAAAGGAGAGGTGATTAATAAACTGTAAAACTCTGCTTACTCTATAAAATTCCTCTTAGGTATTTGATATATAATCGAATGATCGAGAGACTCTAGATAATCTAAAAAATTCATCTCGAATAATATATTAGGATAAGATATCTTGATAATATTTATTAAGTCTGCAATCATGTTTTAAATTTTGAGGGAGATATTTCTCCATATAATCTATAAGATTAGATTTCATTTGTTGAAAGAAGCATCCTTTAATAACATGACCAACTTTTAGGAACCACTCAAATTATGCAAGATGACTAAAATGACCATCTCTTTCATATAGATATATAAGGGATTTATTTCATAATTCACTTACACTGCAGTATTTATTAATTTCAGCTTTATTATTAATATCAAATAGATGAAAAAGGATATTATCACAAATGCCGGGAATATTAATAAATTCACTTTTTCTTTTTTTCTGAATAACATATATGGATACAGCATTCTATTGGTAGCTTACTCCGGTACAACTCCTATAGAGGTCTTTCCTATCGAAAAAGCCAAAGATAACTTCAAGCAACTCAGGTATTTCTAAGGCAAGCATTTATTAACAATTTATTTTTTGATTGAAAAAATTGCAACGGTTCCGCAGTATTACGTTTCGCAAAATCGATCTACGATTTGATAATTAACTTCTAACCCATGATGTAACACAGTAAAGCTTCCCAATTGTCAAGGCTATTTCGGGTTCCTGTTATTCGAATACTTCATATCTGGGCTTGTTTTGAAGCTCTCGGTGCCCTGCATCTGGTCGAATTTGTTTGGGGTTTCTATGACTTCTGGATCACGTTTCGTAAACGGTTGAAGTTTTAATTCTTATATATTGCTAATAATATATTATGGGACTCAAGGGGTAGCTATGAATTCTTACATAACAACCTATCAATTTCTCACCTCATTTAGGTTCCCAGAACCGGAAACTAGTATTTTGTAGGTTGCCAGGTCATCATCATTTCTCACGCCACTTTGGTAATGTTGCATCCACAAGATTCTTTCGTGATTATATCGAAAATAATTGGCTTTACGATTTTCTGAATAACTACTCATCCTGTGATTGGAATTTCACGAAATTTGATTTGGTAAATTTTCAGAACCTGCTGAATCCAAACGTTCAATCCTCATCAAAATTAGGTCATTGGTTGACGAGCTATTCGCGTTCCAAATTCGTTACTGCAAATCGGCCTTTTATGACAATTCCCTTGAAGCTTTGCTTTTGTGGGAGATAACCTAACCATTTTAGTGATAAAAATAATGGCAAACTTTTTGCCTGAAAGCCTTGACCAAAGGAGGGAATTAATACTTTTTGACTTAATTGATTGATTAGAGACCTGTATGTTAATACAGCTTAATTTCAGAATCGCGAAGATCTAAGGGAAGTGCAAATTTACATCAAGATTTTAGCAATTTTGACCCCCCTCCCTCCCCTTGTCATCATCCATTTTAAGAAATTTATAATTAACTTATATAAAATTTATGGAACATCATCATGGATTGAACCCCTTCTCCCCCTTTTAAAATGACGTAATTTCTGACCTTCCCCTAATGATCAACTGCAAGTCCCTAGTGATCAACTGTGGAAGAAATAATAATTATAAAAAGCTGGGTAAATTATAGTTATCTGTAAGAAAAAAAAATTTCTTTCAAATTGTGTATATTTTAACACTACCAATTCAATTAATTAATCTTTCGCACATAAAATTCATATTAATCAAAATATAATTTTCGCATAGTTAACTATCAAACAATCAATCAATTCTAAAACAAAAAAATTAATAAAATGCTATCCTCAGTCATTTTTATAGTAATAACTATAAAATAATATTCCAGGGAGTTATAACTATTAAGAATCTCCAAGCTATTTTTTTGGGAACTTTAATCCTATATATAATTTTTGCTGGAGCATTCATCAAACAAAACACTGGAAGAAATAGTAATCTTTCAAGATCCATCCTGATCCAATCCCTTTGGGACTCATTAAATATTAAACCTCAGAACATGCGAACTGATAATGAATAAAAGAATGAAACGATTTTACAAGATATGATTAGATTTTGCTTGCAAATGTTTGGTAACCAATATGATTTTCTGAGACTAATATGCATCTTTTTTTCCTCTGCTATAGCTGGCTTCAATAGATATTCATTTACAATAATGGATAAAATCTTTCTACAGATTGAAAGGAAGGGGAAAAGAAGGAGATAAGGAGAGTTAGTTTTATACAAAATAGTAGCAATAGCAGTAGTAATGGCGATAATAGTAGTTAGCAATAATAATAGAAAAAATCAATTGGTTTGATAGTGCAAAGAAATGACTTGATGCTAGGGACTCTCATTTATGACCCAGGATCTGAGTACTCCCACCCACTTAGTTTCTTTATGGTTCTATGAGCATCATTTCATTTCATACATTATCCTTCCTCCTCCTCAAATATGTATTCTATTTTAGGTTCTTTAGAGTCATCAGGAGGTCCTCTTAGGACTGGATTTTTCTCAACATTTTGTTATATATATTAACCTTTTTAATCTACTTAACTTCGGGACAATTAATCTTTGTATGACCAGCCTTTCTACAGACTAAACAAAGATGAACAATTTGTTTAATTAGTGCTTTTTGTGCTACCTTTCTAACCACTTTTTTTTGTAGCATTAACACTTCTAGGCTTGAAAGGACTCTTTCTTACATGAGCTGTTCTGCTTCCCAATTTTTTTTGAAGATCATTATAGATAAATTATTTTAAAGTTGCGTCATCTGTAGCTATTCCTATATATTACAAATCCTTTGCAAGTTGAATTTTAAAATCATCTTTTTGTGGAATAGGAGTAGGTATTACTGGTTGAAATTCTGGTTATAGTAGTATAGGTATTTGACCTGTATTCACACTTGGATTACGTTCTAACCACAAATCTTTTAATTGTATAAAGAATGCATCTATATTACAAATATTAGCTATTCTCATCTATATAAAAAGATCACCAGATAATTGACTTTTAAGAAATCCTAAAACTTGTATATTATTATCTGGAATACCCAATAATAAAAGTCTAATTCTTTTTTTATATGTATTAGGTGAATCGCTAGGTAAAAATCTTTCTTGAGTTAATCTTTGAAAGGCCACTTGCTGACTACCTATTGTTTCACACTGATATTTTGCTCTCATCCCTATCCATAAAGTAGCTGGAGAATTAATAACAGGATTACCACCAGTATAGGGATCATTTGCTGGAACTGGTATATACTTTCCTTCCAACTTTGATTTTAAAAGACCAAATTTAACAGTAAAGTCCCCCGTATTAGCATTTTCAAGTACTGTCATATTTGGCTTTAAATGTGATATAGAATTCCAAATTTTATCTAAGTACACATCAGGAGATTCCTGCTTAGTATATTGTTCATGTTTAGCAAAAATATTTGCTATTGTATTATATATCGGTTAACGTCTAGTTTCTGCTATATTTAGTGGGTTAATAAGCAGATTATTTTGTAGATTTAAAATAATTTGCTGGGAATTTATTTCTCGAGCTTTCCATTTTTGATATCGGTTAAATACTCAGACTCTATTAAATTCTGCTAAGTCAGCCTCAGCTTTATGTCTTCGATTTATTAGTCGAAGGTCTACCTTTTCTTGTAATAATATATGATTATGCCTTTCTGCTCTCTAAGTTCTAAGCCACTATATACGATGCTCATTTGCTTCATTATTTAGAGCTTGTGTTAGCATTTGATTATCATTCTGTGACCTAGCTCAGACTTCTTGCAATTGTTGCCTTAGAGTTTTAGCTTATCTAATACTTTATTCTACTATCATATTCTAATCTTGTCAATATCTTTAAACTAAACAAATATAGGTAATAATATTAGCGAAACATGTACCAAATCTATTAAATTGCCCTCTTATATCATCTGGAAGAATAACTCCAGTATTATTTAAATGTATTTGAATCTTGCTAAAGAAGCTGAAGCCTCAAATCACCTATCTAAGATAGCTTTTATTGTATGCTCCATATCTAATATTTCTTTATTATTTGAAACTTTTTTATAACTTAGACCAGTTATTTCAAAAATATGGGTCTTAAGCTGATCAACCTTGTCTTTTAACCTCAAAATATGGATATAGTACTAGTATTACCTTTATGTTTTAAATCCTACAATGCTTTGTGAAGACGCTGTTTAAGTGATTTGATCTCAGTCATAAGAGACGCTATCTTATCTTCATGAATTGAGATTGCTGAATCCTGCTGAGATAATGTTTTATAACAGGTTTCTAGCTCTCTGCTAAGTGCTTTGAGTTTTTTATCCTTAAAATTGTTTTCGGCTATTTCATTTGCCAATTCTTTGCGCAACTCTTTATTAATATCAAGGATTTCGATATAAGCCAGGTCAATGACATTGATTCATATTATACAAATAGATTTGAGTAAAGCTAGAAATTTATTACCAGCCTTCGGGCTATCAAAGAACTGCGAAAAAATTGCATGAAAGCTGGGTTTGATTTTACCTTAAATAAAGTGCATGATTGGCTTGAGAGACAAGCTATGCATCAGGTTCATAAACCTTATCCTAGAAATATTCCAAATGCATCTTTCATTAATGTTACTATACCTATGAAGGTTATTCAAGCTGACTTATGCTATTTGTCTTACGATCAAATTGAAAATAAAATTTATAAATTTGCACTTAATTGTGTAGATATTGCTACTCGTATAAAATGGACCTATCCCTTAACTAACCGTAATTATGCTAGTGTTACTATAGGCTTTAAAAAACTTTTTAATTCACAAAAATGTCCGCTTACTTAGTCTAAAAAGATATTATAGTAGAAGGGGATGTTGAATTTCTGGGTGATATTATTAGATTAATGAATAAATATGATATCAATATTCTAATAGGTATTATTGAAAAGTTTAATAAGACATTACAAGAATGGTCATCTATTATTCAAGATGCTATTAATATGAGATTATCTATATCAGAACGTTGTCGAGCTTGGGTTAGAAACCTTCCAATTTTCTTGAGAATCTTGATAATTCTGTGACTCGTCTTCTAGGTATTTCTCCTGCTAATACATGAAAACTGAAGCATGTTTATGTAAAACCTTCTAAGCATAAAATGGGCCTATAGGGTTTGATAAGAAGCAATTAACTTATGATATTCTTGTAAGATATATACTTAAACCAGGTGAGTTAGAAGGTAGAAGAAGATATGCTGAAGATATGATTTGGTCAAATGATGAAGGCAATAGTCTAAAAAGATCTTTTGTGAGAGAAAGATTAATGGTTATTAAAGAAGCTCAGCTATCACCTCGATGGGTACTTATATAATAAAAAATCCTCAAGTATTTTATCAGCTTATTCTTCTGTAATATAATAATGCTTAGCTAACTTATAGTATAACCCATATAGTTCCATAACAGCATTAAGAATTTTTAAATCTTTATCATAATAAGATTTATAATCACTAATAACTTGCTTATATTTGTCTTCTATTAGAAATAGTCTTCTTGCATTTTCTAAGATATATGATTTAGAATCTTCTGTCTGATGTAATTCTAGAATATGCTTTTTATAATTTTGCATAAATTTACCATCTTTTGGTCTTCCACAGAGAATTCCTGCCTTAAACACTTTGATTAAAGCCTTTTCGACTTCCTCGAAAGTGGGCTTTACTTCAGATAATTGAATTTGTGTACTCATTGTATAAGTATATGTATTATTATATTGTGTAAAGATTTGTTTAATTAAAATTATTTATATATTTAAAAAAAAATAAAAGCAGATTTTATTTTGATTATCTTTATAATTCTGGTAAGACTTGTAATAAAGCCTGTACTCGATTTGATAGTTGTCGATTGCATTACAAAGCTAAAAAGCGCCAGTCTTGCATGGAATCAGGATACTGGATCATCTTATAGTCATTATCGTCTTCATACTAGAGGCTATTATATGATTTAATATGTTAATAGACTTTGGAATAAGGCCCTGATGTTTGATATGTATTTAAGTGGTTAGATTTTTAGTAAAATATAGATTTATTATATAGTTAGTTGAGAGGTTAAACTTTTTTTGTGGTTTGATTTCACATAATGATAGATAAAAGATTAGACTTTTTTGTTTCAGGTTTGTGTAAAGGAAATGGCTCTAGAATGGTTTCCTATATATTTATAAATTGATAACATGCTAGAACATAATCATTAAGCTTTTGATTTGTAAACTAGATTACAGCTAAATATAATCTCTTCAAGGTTAGATTTAGCATATGGTATACATTTTAGGCTTACATAGTCAGGCCTAGCTCAAATCACATTACTTTGTTACTTGATTTCGATGGCCCCTCCAGAGGCAAGAGAATAGCATAAAAGTTATTAATAAATTTGTGGTTTGCAATGTCAGGTCCGTCTCAAATCGCATCACTTTGTTCCTTGATTTTTGATGGCTCCTTCTAAGGCAAACAGTATAGTAAAAATTTTTTGATATATTATTTAGGATTAAAATCAGGCTAGAATTGCTATATCAAACAGTGTAGTTTTTGATATCAAACAGGCTAATTCCTAGCCAAGTTCGATAACATCATCTATAATTGAGTCAAAATGTGCTAGAGGTTTAAATTTGATAATTTAATTCATATAGCTAAAATGGATTCGTGGGCGATTAGAAAACCTTTTTGGATATCTTTTGGATTTTTGTCCTAGAAACCCCATATTCACCTTACTACTAGTCTTACTCATTATACCTTCACAATAAAATATTCTTGCGATACTATTTATTCAACTTCTGGTTTTTCAAAAATTAACCTAAATTCTGATTTATTCAACTTGAAAAATTAGTTTTTTTAACAAAAATATTTTTGCGATTTTATTAATACAAGATAAAATTCATTTTTTCAGTTAAAATTTAGCTAGTTGTGATTGGATTTAATAATATTTTCTTTTATTTCTTTTCTTTTAAGCAAAATTTTATCTAATATAAGAAAAGTTTAATTTTTTTAACTGAATTTTTAATTTTTTTATAAATCAGAAATAAATAAGTTTAAATAAGCTTTTAAATATATTGTATCAGAAATATTAAATAAAGTATAATTGATTAATTATTTGATAAATAATACTTACAACAAATAATAATAAAAAGTGATAATACAAATATAAAAATCATCCTTATAAATTGCTTTATTTTGAACTTTTATTTTTTCTCTTATTTTTTCAAATATATAATTTAAATGAATAGAAAAAAAATTAATCGCTAGCATACTTAATAAAGAAGAAAATAAATCAAGTCAATCCTCTACTGCAGCTTCTTATAGAAGAAACAGATCAATTACTAGTTTAATTGATAAAGAAATATCTTCTACTTTTAGAACATCATTATTACATAATGTAATAACAAGATATCAATATTCACAAAGCTTAATTTTAGATGTATTCTATCAACTCAAAATTCAAGAAGATATAGGAAAGTCTTTAATAACGTCAGCCTTGATTAGATGAATCATTGAATATAAATCAAAAGATAATAAATATCAAGAGGAATCTGATTTCACATTTGTATTTTAAAGATGTGTAAATAGGTACAATAATAGTCTAAAATACAATATTAATCCTCCTAATGACAATTCCAAACAAAGTATTGATAAACTTTCTGAATCTTCTGAATATATTACTAAAGAAGACAATATTTCAGGTAGTAGTAGTAATAGAAATGAATCAGATGATGAAGAATCAGAGATTACAAAACATTTGAAAGTTATGTATTACCTGATTATGAGCCATTTCAGGACTCACCAGATTTAGAATTAACAATTGATAACTGAATTTTATGGATTTTGATATTTCTGACAAGATTTAATATAACAGAAATAGCAACCGAGGCTTTGATAAAATTTATGAAGTTAGTCTTGACAGAAATCAGTAAAGATGATTTTATAGACTTTTCAGATTTAATATATTTAACAAAAAAAGAACTTAGATTAAAAGATCATTTTTATAGTTTTGTTTCTTGTCCGAAATGTAATAAGCTATATAAAAAATAGGAAGTAATAAATTTTAGACAAGAATATTCACTTGCTATAATGAAATGCTGACATGTAGAATTTTCTAATTAGTCACTTTGTAAATCATGACTTTACAATACAATTATATCTCAAACCATCAGTGTTTCAGCAAATCGAGTAGTAATTCAATCTAATTTAATATTTTCATTTTCTGAAATCAGACAACAACTTGCTTCGATATATCATTAGTCTTATTTTGAAAGTTGTTTGAGAAAATAGGCAAATTATCAGCATTATGATAATATCAGAACTGATATATATAATGATCAAGTATGGCAGACATTAAAAGAATCTTTTGAAGAAATTTGCAAAATTTTTTTAAAGATAAAATAGCTGATTCTTACCTTAGATTAATGTTGAACCTGGATTTGTTCCAACCTTATGAAAGTATTGTATATATTATTAGTATTATTAATGCTGCTATATGCAATTTGTCGTATGATATTTGATTCAAATGTAAAAACCTACTAACTCTTGACCTCTTACCTGAACCAAATGAAGTAAGTTTGCATAAAATAAATCATTATTTAGCATTGATTGTTGATGAATTAAAATTGCCTTAAAATGGAATAACTATAGATAAAATATATGAATTTCAAGAAGGAAGTATTATTTGTGTAGCTCTAATTCTTATTTCATATGATATACCAGCTGCTAGAAAAATATGTGGTTATATTTCAGCCTTAGTATCATATCATAGATGTGAGAAGAAAGCAAATTATGAAAATCGGCAGCATAATTTTGCCGATATGGATAATTTTGATAATTGGTTCTTCATGTGAGATCCAACTGAACATTATCAGAATGCTTTAGAATGGAGATATTGCAATTCTGATGCTTTACAAAAAATAAACTGATGTAAGATGGTTTGAATTATTGCGATTATCATATAGGAGGTGATCAGTAAAAAAGAAGGAAATCCAAATTTTGATCAAAATTTATATTATTGTTAATGTGTAATTCCTGTGAACTACAACTGTTAGACAAGGTGTCAGAGTGTTATTTCTTTTAATATATGTAGTAATCTTAAGGCTTTTACAAGTTTATTATCATGACTAATTTCAAGTAAAGATTTCAAGTCAGGTTTATGCGAGTATTTCACGATCAACAATTCACAAGATATCGAGTAATTATATTTTGAAGTAAGATGTTTATTGATAAGAATATATATCGTTGTATTGGTTTTTCAATAGGAGTTGGTGGCGTTGTTGTTGGTGTTGGTGTTGGTGTTGGTGTTGGTGTTGGCGTGGCGTTTGCTTCTCGCAAAGCTTTAATTTCCTATAAAT